CGTTCCTCAAAATAGATTCAACCCCTGTCCAACTCAAGTTTTACCACTAACCTTGTATGCATTGTGAGTTTGGCAGCGGTCAGTGAAGTTCGCTTCACGGTATTTCGCTGTACGATGATGATGAGTCGAAGAAATCAAGAGCATAATCGCAAAGTGCACTATCTGCGCGGGACTAAAACCCCACTTTTTCAAGCCATCTCCCTGCAATCAAAACTACACAGTCATTTGAGAGACTAAGCATCAATTTCAAAGGACCCTTACTTTCGACCTATCGGAATCGGTATATTTGTGTATCATTGATGAATATTCTCGATTCCCGTTTGCGGTTGCATGTCCGGACATGCCTTCATCTACTGTCACCAACTGCCTTTGCCAATTATTTGCTGTTTTTGGCATGCCTGCTTATGTGCACTTGGATCGCGGTCCGTCTTTTATATCCACAGAGTTCGTCCGGTTTCTGCATAATAAAGGTGTAGCAACTAGTCACACAACTACTTACAACCCGCAAGCTAACGATCAAGTGGAGCGCTTGAATGGTACGCTATGGAAAGCTATATCTCTAGCACTAAGGACTAGAGGTCTGTCGACCTCTCAATGGAAAATGGTCCTCCCAGATGCGTTACACTCTATTCGCTCACTGCTTTGCGTCGCCACCAACAATACACGTCACGAACGATTGTATTCTTTTCTCCGGCGTTCGGCCAACGGCTCCTCCATACCGAAGTGGTTAACAACTCTGCTGCTGCTCAAACGAATGGACCGAACTTCGAAGTACCACAGCTAGGTAGACGAAGTTAATCTCATTCTCTGTAATCCACATTATGCTCTCGTAAAAATGCCCGACGGCAGGGAAGAAAAGGTCTCCATTTGACGCTTGGCCCCACCGGGTGATTTACTCCTTTCGAGACCAGAAACTTGTGACCTGACAGACAGTGAAACACACAGAAACTTCTCCTCCAAGATCGATAGACAATTCACTTAATCGTGAGATTTTTTACACTTTCACAACCCCGAAACCTGTAGCTGACACCGCATCAGAAATATTACAACAAAGAACGAGACCTTACAATCTCGGAAACAGAGAAGCTTGGTGATCTTCTGCTATTCCCCTTTTTCTCCCAAACAAATCAATAATCTTTAGCGATATTGTAAAGTGAACTTCCTTCTCCCGGCTGTTTGCTATGCGCTCTGTTCCCGTATGCTGTTACTCACATCATTCCTTTTATTTTTCAGCCCATATACCGATATAATTAGACAAGTAAAACCTATTCTTTCGGTTTAGAGCGTTCTCTCTCTCATCTCGACCGTTGTGACCGTACTCGTTTGTTGTCACTCGTAAAAGTGACCTCTCCAAGGGTGACTGTGGATACACGAAGGAAGCCAGGAGTTGCCCAAGATGCTGGCTTTGTGAGACTGAACTTTGTTGGGCCTCAACCCTTTGACCTTTCTGGCATGATTCGATCTATAGATGTGAAAAGCCATCCTGTGTAGCTCCCAGGTTCATGGGGGCACGTGAGCCATCACACCACGTCAAGGTCCAGTCTTATCGTGATGGGTTAGGACAAACTCCAGTGATACATTTTTCGTCACCCCTTCCGGACCTTATTACTGAGAGATCTTGGCGCCAACATGTGCGTTCTCCCACCAGGTTTTGGTCGGGTCAGTCCCTTTCTCTACTCGATTTGGTGATAACGAACAATCCGCGCCAAATTGACGGGGTTCACACTCTCTGCCCACTTGGAAAGAGTGACCAATCACTTCCGAGCTTCGACTTCATCGTGCCTTGGCCCCTTATAAGTCAGGACCAAGAACCTCGCGGCCCTTCAAACGGATCAACTTCGATTACCAGGCAGCAAATCTGACATCTGACAACGTATCCTCAGAAACAAATGGAATTAATGATCAAATTGAGAACATAATCCGAATAGGCGACTGCTTGCTATTTCTCAAAATATTTCGAATCCCATCACCACCGCCTAACATTAACCACGGTGTATTGAATGGCGGTTTGGAACACCGAGCAGGTCCCTTCTCGTGGAGGGAATCGATTGTCGTCCCCATTTTCAAAAAGGGTCAGCGCAATGACTGCGCCAATCACAGGGGTAAGCCTAATTCCGATAGCGTCAAAGCTGTTGGCGTCCGTCATTCTCCACCGATTGTACACTATGCGTGAGGAGCAAACCCGCGAGGAATACCTGAGAAGTGTGTTGATTCTTAAAGAGTTGTATCGTCATACCTCAGTTCAAATTAGGGCCTATGGCTAGCTTTCGCCACCCTTCGCGGTCTCCAGTGGAGTTCGACAAGGCTGGCCTAAATTCCCATTACTTTTCAACTCTGTAGTAGAGGATGCTCTACAGAATGCTTTGTCCGGTCCGATGAAGTCAAACTCCTCCTAGGGAACAGAGTCCTTGACTGAGAATACGCCGATAACATCGCCTTCCCGCTGCCTCGCGGGTCAGACTCTTGAGTCAAAGGCTCCGGTTAGGGTTCCCAAAGAAAAACCCCTTCGTCGGTGTGAGCTACCGCGAAGTATGTCGTACCCTAAAGTCTTTGGCACCCATTTGGAAAACTCTCCTTCCCATCTGTCTAGTTCTTCTTCTCAACCCCGAATAATCCCAGATGCCTCCTGTTTACGCCACCCATCGAATATCAATCAGCGTTTTACAAACAAGGCCAGACAATCAGAAGCTATAGGATTTTTAAAGCCAAAATCCCCTTTTCACTTAGCCACCTTCAATGTTCGCACACTATCACATCGGTCAACAAGCTGCATTAGTTAGAACCCTTGAAACTTTCAATTCAGATGTATGTTGTCTCCGAAACACGCATACAAGATCCCACTTCCATTATCTCTGCGTTCTCCTGATTCAACCTCAACCTCACGCTTCACCCTTCGTGTGTCAGGCGATTCGGCGTCCGAAGCTCGCGGTGTTGCTGGTGTCAGGATTGCGCTAAGTGCCAAGGCTGAGCGCCCGCTTCTTGACTGGATTCCAGTCAGTAGCCCATTGTGCGCCGTACGTTTCAACGGTTCAGCGCGGGTCAACAGCTGCAGAACGAAGCGTCGATGTCTATTCGTCGTATCGGTGTATGCACCGATGGGTTGCAGTACACCTGAAATCAAGGACGAATTCTACAAGGACCTTTCTCGATTACTCCAAAGCGTTCGATCAACGGACATCGTGGTA